CAAAGTTCGCATCATTCGCGAATGACCTGTTCCTAGAAGAAGAAGCAGGTTCAGTCCTTCCTTGGTACATGTGTGTACGTCTCGAAGTTCTGCAAGAATTTCGCAGAATTGGCAGCTCCACTCACTGACGCAACCCGAGGTAAATCTGCCCACGAGAAGGTTACTTTCTCTCCAGACCAGCTCGAGTGCTTCCACAAGCTGAAATCCGTTTTGCCTTCACCACCAGTACTAGCACATCCCGAGTTTTCTCGCGACTTTTACGTGCGTATGGACGCCAGTGACTTTGCGGTAGGTGGCTATCTGTTTTAAGTCGACAGTGAGGGCAACGAACACATTATCGCATTTGGTGGACAAAAATGACGTCGGCAGAACTGATGTATCCCACCCGAGAAAAGGAGCTCTTGGCTGCACTACATGCCATGAGGACTTGGCGGGTTTATCTCCTGGACCGACCATTTTACATCAATACGGACCACAAAACATTGCAGAGTATCCTGGAGCATAAAACGTGTTCTCAAAGGCTCGCACGTTGGCTGAACGAGCTCGGCCTATTTTTTGCTGGATCCCTGGAGATACAAATGTGATCGCTGACATGGTTTCTCGTAATCCATCCTTCCATCCCGCAGAGTCAGCTCACTTCGTGTGAGCAGATTTACTGAGGCAGCTGACAGCTACTCAAGCAAATCTCGATAGCGAGGAGGTCCAGCTTCGATACATGCGGGGTCGGCCTACTATTCTTCAGCAATGTGTCAATTTGTACAGCGAAGATGAAGTATTTGGCGACCTGTACAAGTTTCTCAACTGCAGCACGAACCCAATGGAGTCACCGCCAGTCCAGCTGAATCGAACTCTTCGAGCCAACATCCGACACTTTTTCGTTGAAGAAAAAGTCCTGTATTTTTCAGCCCGATCCTGCCTCCGCGCGGCGAGTATGTGTACCGAGCGATACTGACCTGAGAAACAGTATTCTATTTGAGAAGCACAACGCGGATACTAGTGGACACCCTGGCTGTTTAAAGACTTTGTTAGCTGTCCAAGAGCAGTTCTATTGGCCACACATGGAGCGGACTGTCAAACGCTACGTTCGTTCTTGTGAAATGTGCCAGCGAGTAAAAGCCTCTCATCGCAGGCCAGCGGGATTGCTCCATCCGCTGAAAATTCCTCGCAATCGGTGGTCAGAGATTTCTATGGATTTTGTTACCGGCCTTCCTAAAGCCCGTCGTTCGAAGTGTGATGCTGTCATGGTCATCGTAGACCGACTCACGAAGCGAGCCCACTTCATTCCTACTACTACTACCTGTACGGTCCAGCAAGCAGCTTAGCTTTTTCGTGACAACTACCAGAAACACCACGGATTACCGGTCAGCATTGTCTCCGACCGTGATACAAAGTTCACGTCCAAATTCTGGTCTCAACTCATGGGGTTTCAGCAGACCCAGTTGCGCTTGAGCTCGGCCTTTCGCCCTGAGACCGACGACAGACTGAAAAAACCAACCATTTTGTTTCGGACTACCTGCGCGCATTTGTGGATCCTCGACACGACAACTGGGACGACTTACTTTCGCTGGCCGAATTTGCGTACAATGCACGTGTCCATTCCAGCACGGGCATGTCGCCTTTTGTGGCCGATATCGGGTACAACCCTCGCTCCGTCGCCGATTTGGCCATTCCTTCATCTTCACGAGCAGCTCTGCAATTTGTACAGCACCAACAAGTTGCTTTGCAACAGTGCAAGGACTCACTTGAGCAGGCTCAGGCTTCAATGAAGTATTTTCATGACCGCAATTTTCCCGACTACAAGTTTGCTCCCGGTGATCAAGTTCTTCTTGATACTACTCACCTTGACTTGCATCATCTTTACGTTTCCGGCAAGCGTAAACTCGCTCCACGATACATCGGCCCATATCCCGTGTTGAAGCTTACCACACCGGATACCTACCAGGTTCAGCTCCCACCCGGGCTCAAGCTGCACAATGAGTTCCACATTTCTTATCTCCGACCGTACGAGTTCGACGCCAACCCACGACGGCTGAGCGATGTTCTCCGACTACTTCCCTGTGAGGGTCACGAGGGATTTCAGGTGCAGCGTATCCTAGATCGTCGCGTGCTCAAAGGCATTATTCAGTACAAAGTCCGCTGGTACGGTCGTGACAGCAAGGATAGCTGGGAGCCGGAGTCCGAGTTGACACAAGCAAGCGGGCTTATCACCAATTTTCTACAAGATCTACAGTCAACTTCGCGTAGATTGCGCTCTGGTGACCCCTGACTTGTTTCGGAGGAGAGACTGTCATGATGATGCCCCCTCCTGACTCCAGCATCTACTTACACAACCTTTTTTCCAAGCCTTCACTCTCCGTTTCGCTCTACTGTTCAACCAGACGTAGATCGTGCTTGAAGTTGCATTCATAGTTGAGGTTTAGCTACAGGGCAGATGCTTTCCTTCTCTTTGCTTAAACACTCAATTCATTCTCATTTTTTCCTGCTACAACTCAAGTCAAGTTCCTACAACTACAACTCAAGCGGAAACAAGTGCGTCTCCACAACTTCGTGACACTACAAGTTTTTGCAACGACAAACTCTCGTTGGAAACTTTCGTTACGAACATTCCAAATGACAGCATAAACAATAATTTACTGTACGAAACGAATCAAATCACATCGGAAACTCCCCCTAGGCTGCATCTTAATGGAAGATAGCGACTGCTCCCAAGACGACCTGCTTGGCTATGGCGCTACTGCATCTATCCAGCTTGGGCAAGGAGAACCTTCACCTGCCCCAGAAGAAGTTGAAGAAGCACAGCACCCGCATGCGTCTGAAGACGAGGGTCTTATCTGCGAAAAAGTGGTGGAACTTGAGCAGCGCTCCCGCCTTACCGCTGCCAGCGACAAGGCCTTGCTGACTGAGGTTCTAGCTACACCACCGTTTGGTGCTAAGCGAAAAGAAGTAACTGAGGGTGGAAAGGTGTAGCCAATCAGATGAACAGCTCTCTAGCGGCAAAAACTTTGGTTTACGCGCGTGTCGTGATCGTACCGCTTCTCTTAAAGAAATTTGCTGCCCAAAAGAAGCAAAACGAATCTGCAAGTGGACTTAGCGAAGTGCATACGGACAACGACGACATTTTGGAGCAGTTATTACAACTGAAGGAGGCCACTGCCGCTCAAAATCAGAACAAGAAGCAAGAAGCAGCTTCTATGGCCCAAGAACTGGAGACGGATGGGCAGTGACGCATGATGGCAGCAGAAAAAAAGGTATAAGTGATTATCTTTCAACTAAATTAAATTGTTTAACGAATGTATTTTGTGTTTAACGAGTTGCAGAAAGACAGTAGAGTGATACAGGAAAGCCAAGTGGGAGTAAGCACCGCCGCCTTTCAACGTTGCTCGATAACGAGCTGGAGGAGGCATGTGACGACTGGTGAGAGCACGGCGCAGAGGAACAGCGACGAGGAACGAGTCGCGTGGTGAGGAGCGAAGCGGAGGAGGGCGGCGAGAGTCCAACGATGGGGACTCGAAGGTAAGGCTTAGGAGGCAGCTGATGTGCCTCGAAGAAGGTAAATTGGAAAGTGAGATTGAAATCGTTAGTTGTTTGTAGGTTACGAGGAAGTGCTTGTTAGCATTCCCTTGGTATCCTATGTAAGATATATGCATTTCACTATACTAGATTCTAAGTAGTCCTTGAGTCGAATCTTGAAGTAGCGTAGCGTAGTAGTGAGCCGCGGTTCATTTGAACCGGGTCAAAATCTTCAATGTGAATTCAAATGAAAAATAATGACTGTCGATGAAATTCCATGTTTGGCAATACTCATCCAAACATGGTGATTGCCTTCCGGTCAGGCGCTTGTCTGCCTGGCCGCTCATTGGCAACTTAAGAAGACAGTTGGCAGTCAGCAAAGACAAGAAGGAAGGAAGTAGAAGAAAGTAGGACGCATTGGTACCAACGTCATGGCCTTCGCTGGCTGTGACGCTGGTGCGTCGTTACAAGGCAGCCCAGCGACGTAAACTGGAGGAACAAAAGGTCGAACTTCATAAGGAGGAGCTACAGCTGCGTCGTAATGAGTTGGAGCAACAGAGGCTGCAACAGGAGATGCTACACCAGCATATGCAAAATCAAGCTGCTCAAATGGAGTCGATCTTTAAGTTGCTAGCTGAAGCTATTACCAAGAAAGATAACTGAACCAAAGGGCCAAATGCGAAAGAGAAAAATAGTTTGTTAACGTCGGTGGATCTAACTCAAATATTTACTGTTGCTGTTTCCCTCGCGCATAATGGTAAAGCAATTTGTTAATACAATTACAACTTTGTAAAGTGTCGTCACAGGAGCTCCACCCAGGTACATCTTCCTCTTATAGTCGACACCCGCCCAGAAGCTAACTACCTGACCGTAAGACCATTCAACCGTGGCTCTGACCTCCGCCGTGGAGGCATTGATCGCAGTTTGAGCTGGTGTCAGACTTGATCCCTTAAAAGGCGAAACAAACGCGTCCGTTCGACCATATGCTTGATCCACATATATAAAGTAGCCACAAAATCTTTCATTCGCACTTATGCGTTCCTCTAGCCCCGATTGACGCAACAATACAGCGACATGCCTCCACCCTTTCACCGGTCCGTAAAGGTGAAAGATCATTCCTTCGGGAGTGACGACGCTCTGGAATTTTAGCCCACGCTTTCTTTTGTGGTGGGAATGCAAACTTAGCTGGTCTCGAGCTCCTCCCGGTCGGCAAATGCCCCGTACAGTCCCATCCACGAAACCCCAAACACAGTCTAGCTTGCCTCCTTGGTTGCAAATAGCTTCACTAAACGTTTGCAGTCTAGAACTAGCATATTCTAAGTCCCCCAGTAGTAATTGACCACACTTCCCACTAATCAATCCGATGACAAAGTAGAAAATACTACTTAGAGCACTTGGCCACCTTCCGTAGATTGTAGCCATATGCATCCATCTTGTAGGGTACGCTAGACGGTGAAGTGTGATACAGAGGCCATCTAGCCCACTACAGCATGCACGCGAGTGCAAACCTGTCCCGATCACTTCCGGTAACTCAAACGAAGCTTGTAAACGTCGAAGTTGTCGGTGGGTGAATCTATAGAAGGTCAGGCATGTGCCGTCGGTGACGTCGCTGATATGAAATCGAACACCTAGTAACGAGAACCGAGGTTTGAGTCATAGAGTAGCGTCAGCCTCCGATAACGAAGTCTGGAAGCGGTCTCCCAGTCACATGTAGTCGTTTCATCCGTGAGGCATCCAGCATCTCCCTTGCCACGCGACGGCACTCGAGAACGTCGTCGTCGCTGTCCGATTCCATCTCGTTTGGAGGGCGTAGATTTGACACTAGCTATCAACTGATTCCGTTTCTTTGTTGAGAGCGCAACGCAACTTGTCACCCTCAGACAATAACACGAAACGAATAACAACAAAATTTATCAGACATTCTTAGATTTTAGCTTCGTTCTGAGCTGCTTAAGCTTTCTATTGTCACAGCGAGTCACAATCGATACATTTTGTTTTAAAGTGAAAGAAAGTTGATACATAATGTGGTCGACTGCGGTTAGGTGACTACGCACAGTATCGGTAAGTAGAGGTCGACTGTTGAGCGTTTGACAAGCGAGTGTGAAAACATGTTTTGACATTACGGGAGAGGGGGCGAGGAGAGAAAACGCGCGAGGGGTCGCTCCCCTGTGCAGCCATTCATTCAAAATTTACCGATGGCAGCCAACACGTATCTCGCCATCGAGAACAGCGCTGCGGAGCAAAGCGCCGCCCAATAACTTGTGGTGGACAGTCTCAAGTGCTGCACACGCAACACTCGTCGCAGCTACGAGCCCAAACAGGGCGAGTGGGCTAGGTGGTGCAACGGCCGTCAGTTTGTTGATGGAAGTGTCGTGACCGAGGGCAAGATCTTGCCTTTTCTCGAAGAGGTGGTGCGTCCACGTGGCTCGCGGCGCAAGCAGGACGGTACGGTCATTCTCTCTCGGCGGAGGGTATTGAATGGTATATGAAGGCGTTAGTAGACCCCTACAGCATCCAAAAGTCTCTCGGTATTGGGTCCCACCCACATCCGTGCGGCAAGGCACTTTCTGAGTACTTGCGCACCCATAGGCGCAAACGAGCAACGCGTCGGCGCGAAGAATTCGATGACCGTGGCAAAGGTACCGTGCAGGACACGTACTCGGTCGGCCAGCTACGCAATGTGCCAGCATACTTTATGGAAAAACAACGGTAGGGCTCTTCACGATCGAGTTGACATTCGCTTCGGTCACGCGCTTATGGCTAGGGGGGAGACGACGAGGGAACTTCAGCTACCCGATCTATTCTCCAGGGAGCTTTCAATTAAGGCCCAACGAAGTGCGTGGCGGCGCTTGCTGTAATTGAACCAAGGCAAGATGAATCAGTTTGGCCGTATCGAATACAGCGGCTGTATCCGATACCGCGACGTCATCCTGTCCCTATTGGAGCCCTGGCCATATACCTGCTTTGGCGGTTCCATGTAATTTGGGGGAGACATTTCCGGACATGCGTGTCCGATCATCGTGGTACAACATCCAGCTCATCGATGGCAAGATAAAGGAACGCGAGATATCGTACAGCGCACAAGCTAACGGGACGAAGAAGGCCCTGAAAGCGTGCGGTGTCACAAGCAAAAAGGTAATATGTAGCTTTGTGTAATATGTTATGATGTTAACAGCGTTTAGCATCCCACAGATTCACATTGAATCGCATGCTTTCACATCACATGGATTAACACTCTTCCTTATTTTAACTTGCAGGTGACACACATTTGCCGACTAGCTCGTGCGTCATCGCCAAAGCGAATGGCGCATCCGAGGCCAGCATAAGAAGGGGTGGGAGATGGAGCAACGAGAAAGTGGAAGGCTGTTATATGACTACTTTGCCGCGTGAGGTTGTCTGTGCGCTAGCAGGTTTCAATGCAAATTGGGGGGGGCATTCTTTCTGCCTCGGGCTGAGAGTTCTATACCAGAAACGTTGCGAGGAGCAGTGCTGGCATGGATTGACACGTTACAACCATTGTTTGACAAGGGAGACATTCATAATATAGCAGGGAAAGGGTTTTTGCGTCTGCTCGCATATCTACGGGAAGTGGTACTTCAGGACTCTGTGCTCCTCCATATAGCTAATCCAACGCATCCAATCTGGATCCACGCTCTATTCACAAGACCAGACTACCATATATTTGCTAATCAGCAACTAGCGCGCCTCCAAAAGACATCTGACACCGGATTGATCCCTACGGTACGTGCCACTCTCCCTATTTTAATCAACGTGGCGGAAAGCAGCTTCGCAAGCACAGTGCTGCGTCTGACAGCTATCGAAAATATTTACGCTCTACACACACGCTTGTCATCTCGCTTGTCGGCGGACGATTTCACTCGTCTTAGCTCCTGACCAGGCTGGACAATCGAGCGAACAGGCAGAGCAATTGGACGGGTCCATTACCTACCGTCTTGCTCGAGGATTGTATTCCGTGATTGCAGTTTGGACAGAGTACACGAAAGGGGTTGCGGGTTGTACCCCCGTACAGCAATTCGAAGCACGTCACGGCGCGAAATGGTGTTCGAGTGATTCCGAACGTCAATATTTCAAACGTCGCAAGGTGTTTTACGATGCAATCCAATTCCTAGCTGCAAGTGAGCACGCCCCCCCAGAAATTATAGCGCAAGTACTGGAGACGAAGCGCAAAAACATGAGCCTCATACTTGACGCCCCGAAGGAAAAAGCTGAGCGACAAAGGCGGGGCGATCGCAGTCTTTCAAAGTGCATTGTATTGAGCTTAACCTGACACAGAATGACATGATTTCACAGCAGCATTCAATAATACCGTTTTGCAATGTGAACAACATTGAATAACACCGGTGTTTTTTTATTGTAACAGTTAATGTTCTTAACATCTGTTGTTAATATATGCTGTATTTTGCACAATCCCCCCATTTCAAAAGAGCACTCGTTATTCAGCCAGACTGGGTAACAAGAGACAGTACAATTACACCAGAATACACCCGATAGCATGCCCGAGTTTGCCAGACTCAGGAAGAGCCGGATACGTCATCAGCTGATGTGTCTTCGGGAGTATACGTATAACCGGAAGTTCGATGTCTGGCAGTTTCGAAACTGAAATCTGCCAGACATTCAGCAGACTGCGCTGGGGATATCTAACTTTCAAGACAAAGTGCAGTCATGTCGTCGGCACACACAAACAAAAGACCAAATCATTGAAAACTTGTTCAGCTAAATGCACATGCATAGATACCGATAGCGTAGATACTGCAACTCCTTCCTACTTAGCGCACGCATAGTAGTTGCACCGGCAAATATTCGAATGCTAACAGCATGTACATGCCACAATTGTAGCTATTGACCTGCACTCCAAGATCACTTTCGTACATTCGGACTCGGTACTTTCTTGGGGCGAAGTCTGGTAGCATCATCACCAATTTGTCAGCAAGGGGGGCGAACCTTCACTCCGTAGCTGGAATCCATCGGGTCGTAGACAAATACGTCTTTACATGTCAGATCAATCATGACGGAGCGCTTCCGCCTATATTCAAGAAGATACTATCAACGTTAGTAATTCCATTGTATCAATAAATGTACGTTAACTGTACCTGCACGGACAGAAGTGGGATGGCCTTCAGCTTAGCAAGTATATATGGGTCTGGATCAACTTGGAATGCTCGGGCATCTGTAGAGTGAAATCAATAGTCTCGATCCAGTTTATAGCTTTGTCCACGTGTTGTATGCTTTTCATCGCCCTGTGCCACTTTTTCATCACACCCAACGTCTCGGTAGTGTATGTTCCAACACCGATTACTTTAGCCGCAATTTCGTGCTCGCCTAGATTTACACTCCATGAATCTTTATGTTTCTTCAGCTGGGCTGAGACTTTGGCGCTGCACTTCTCAATGAAGTCTTTGCGAAATACACGGTTTATGGATTCCACAGGATATATTTTCTTCGCCGGTGGTAAGCTCGCTCTCTCGTGGGCTACTGGAGCCCTGGGAGTTTTACTGAGCTCATACAGCTTGAATCGCGATAGGGTAGCGGCAGATGTATCGTATGTAGGCACGCCTTTAACAGTATCTCGCACAGTAGCCAGGCTCAAATTCGCTGCGTACAAGTCCGAGTCCTCTTGGACGATCGCGGCATTCTTTCTACGAGCAGCTTTCTTCGACTTCGCTGTTTGCTCTGGGCGCCCGCGGGATCTAGGAGGGCTCGCTACGTGAAATTCATCATTCCCTACTTCTCGAAGAGTCGATGTCAACTCTCGGGTTTTCGATTCAAGATGTTTGCCAGATTGGGTGCCAGACTCGCCAGACTGAGTGCCAGACTCACCAGACTGAGTGCCAGACTCACCAGACTGGACGCCAGACTCCTCGACTTCGCTGTTCTCAATGGATGAACTCGCTTCAGCTGGCTGGGTAGAGTGAGGAGAGTCTGATAGCGCGGTTTGAGTGCCAAGGTCGATCATCCGTCGCCACAACCCGTCGAATAGCGAAAGATTCCATAGACGCACAGTTGTCACTTGAGCTCTCGAACTCTATCGAGAACCTAACAGAAGACAATATCCACCGACGATTGAGAAGTTGTTTCGGGATAACAGTTTCTTTGCCGAGTGCTTTTCTCAGAAAGAAAACATGACGACACGGCAGCAAACGCGTGCTCATAGAGAGGCACAAACAAGTCCAGTTGGCCTCAGAAACAGTATACTCGGTCTCACTCTCGTCAAGGGCATCTTCTTCAGTGCTTGTGGTCTTCACAATATTGACGCCCGGGCTCCGTTCCGAAAATTGTATGATGCACGGCCAAGTGCGTATACGTATTGGTTCTTGTATCAGCTCGCACGCCTGTTCGCTGACAAGGTTAGCCACAAGAGTCATTTCTTGGTCGTATCCAACATGCTGAATGTTAACCTTCTTGTAGACTTCATCCATGAACCGTCGTTCTTGAAGCGTTTGATAGTACATGAAAGACGCAATGCATTCGTCCACAGCCATGAACGAATATACCCACTCTTTCAACTGCTTCCAGGATACCTCCAATCTATTATTGGTGTTATTGCCGAGGGTGACGGTGTTTTGCCGCTTGTGTGCACACCATAACTTACGACAATTTTCCCAGTTTTTGATGAAATAGGCAGCAAATGGGTGGGTGGTGGGTTCATTAGCCACATCTGCTGGTTCAACGGAGTTTGGAGCCCGACGGGAGCCAGATTCACCCCGACCGGAGAGGGATTCGATCTGTTTGTAACCCTATCCTGCCCGATTGAATCTGAAGACTCCGGCCTTGAACGACCACCTCGCGCACATGAAGCATGTACCGGAAATGCCCCATGTATTCCCTCTCCGTCTTCGCGTATATTAGGAGGCCCATGAGCCCTGCAGCTGATCCCTCTCTCACGTGTTGCAGCCGTAATCCGATGATGAAATTTCCTTCCCTCAAGTACTTTAACACATGCAACTGGCAGAGTAGAATAGTGATGCCGGGGAATGCGTTCATCAAAACAGAAAGCTCCGTGAAATCCTTGTCGATGAGCACGCACTGAAGACGCGTCCAAGCCGGGTTATTCGTCTTAAATTCTTCCGGTGCAGTCACCAATGTTCTCCTCTGCTCGTTGAGGAGTAGGGCATGCTGCACAAACTGGCCTTTTCCAAAAGTGTCGTGTGCCATGAAAGAGAAGACCTTGTACTTGGATCGATTGGTTCAATGCGTTGCGTCAATTAGAGGTACCTCCGGAAATTGAGTGAAGATCGACCGCATGTGTTTGGGCTGAAGCGTAACACAGGTTGCCAATTTCTAACATAATGAAACGTTTAGATAGGCAATAGCGAAATAAAATTTAAAACATAAACGTCGTATATCATACCTTTTCTCCCACATCGTCCACGAAGATGCGCCCCCACGTTGCCAGGAACATCACCAAATTCGGACATCCACTTCCTTAATCGCTTTGAGCTAGAGGTTGGGGTTAATCCTTGTTCGCGAGCCTTCAATTTGCGAGCCAGCTTGAAGGCATCCTGCGGCTTCGGATTGCTATCGCAATCGTCCTTGATAAGCTTGAGAATGCTTGTCTTTTTCGCGCCGGCCTTGCGGAGCTCGTCCACTGTCTCTACAGCACTCTCATCGAGGGACACACGGTTAGACGAGTGGCTTTTGGAAGCGTACTCGTTCAATGTGTGATTGTGCTGAAGGTGGCACTTCATAATCATTAGAGAAAATGTATGGGTAGCTTTATTGATCTCTTGAACGCACACATTGATCTGAAAACAACGAAATATTGCCAGCAGATATTAGCAAATTTGTCCGATCAAACCAGTCAATACCCAATCATATCAGACGATGCCATATTGAACCAGACCATGCCCGAATAAATCTGGCTTCGTCCAATTGATCATGCATCTTTCGCAGCACACCCGACATCTCTATTTGCAACAGCAACATACCTGAACAGAGCATCCAGAAGCTCCACTCTCCTGACGAGGCCTCTTACTTGTGGCTTGCGATCCGAAATTGCCTTAGTGCGTACACACGTATGTTTTTGCGTACTGGTCCCACTCGTCGGGAATCTTACACGCCTTGGATCCCTGGGCATCTATCCGAGCATTCCGTACTTGAACTGAGGTGTTCGTTCTGGTACGGTAGATCTAATATTGTGTCGATAACATGCCACTCGATTAGCTTAGATAACACTGGTTATAATTTTAAAAACTTTTCGCACTGTTCCTGGAACGACCGAGCTTGGTACTGCGCGAAGTATGCCTCGAATTCTTCCCACGACCTGAACTGCGTCTCCCCCGGAGGCGGAGCGATGACACAGACTGGTCTGGCTTCCTCGCTAGCGCTACTCGGCCCCGTCGTTTTCACACGAGGTGGGCTTAGTGACGGCTCCCACTCACTCAAAGAGCCGCCGGATGCGGCGCCGTCACTAATATCGTCGCTGGCTTCTGCCAACAGGGGGCGCTTTGGAGCGTTTTGTGGGCGCGGCGGCATTTGTGTCCGTTGGCGCCACGAATTTGCTGGAGGGGGAGGATTTTTTGTGTGGGAGGGGTATACGCAGAGTATACGCTGTACCCAATTCGGATATGGAAGATATTAGCAAATCCTAGCAAATCCAAAGATTACACAAGATGTGCTGCGAGTCGGGATGCTCCCAGTCTGGCAAAAGACTCACTCTCTTTCAAAGATGACGCGGACGACGACACACTCACAGCCATCGAGGGCCTCGCAGGGTTTTCATGTGAGTATTTTTTGGCCACTATCCCAGCGGGGAGAGAGAGGGGTTTTTGGGCGTTTAAAGCCCTCTTTCTTGGGGGAGGTTTTGCGAGAACCTCTTTTTCTAATTCTCCCCCCTCCCCGGGAAACCCGGTTAACCAGGTAAAATTTTGGAAAAAAGAAATGTATGACGTATATGGATCTGCGAAGATCGTCTATGCAGGATGGAGCGCTGGCTTCGCATCATTCCTGAGAAAGTTGGCGCTTGCCTCGAAGAAGACGGAGAGAACGACGACGATAGCGCAGTTAGCACGCCTATCTGCGTTACTCCAGCCGAAAGTCCACCCGCGCCTGTCGAGCCTGCTGCTGCCTCGCCACCGCAGACAGCTGACGACCCGCCGTCATCCAACGAGCCATCTGCGGAGAGCGAGCCAGCCGTCTCCAAGCCAGCCGTCGCCGAGCCCCCCAAGAATAAGCGCCGTGTGACCAAGCGAGGTTGCTCAGCGAAGAAGTTTTGTACCTAGTTACGCTGTGCACCTAATCTGGCACACTACGTATCGCTGGCAGGCCGCAAAGATCTTGCCTTTTGTATTGTGATACAGGCCGTGACCCATAACAAAAAAAGCTCGACACATCCTCTGTGTCTTGCTATACGATGCACACCAACCACAATAGTGTGTCAGCAACCACATAAGCAACAACACAAGCAACAATAGGAGCAGCATATCAATCGACCGAGTTTAATCTCATTACCACGCACCAGTAAATGAGTTTAGCGAATGCTGCTTCCATTGTATCTCTCTCCACCACCTTCATGTTAGACTTGTCTCACTTGCAGACTGCACGCCAGTACGTCAGCGCATGAAGCTGACAAAGAAAGGCTTTCGCTTCTGGAGACTTTTTTTCCAGAACACGCCATTTCACAAAATCTTTGTCGATGATTAGTGTTTGGATCAGCTCTTGAACGGTTTCTTGGACAGGCCTGGTTCAGTGCTAACGGCTGCTTGACGCGCCTTGATAATCTTCTCACACGCTTCAAATGTTTTTGTACGACGCCGGGCTCGCTGTTGATTGACAGCACTCGTGCTCGTAGCGGTGTTTGTGAGACTAGTACGGGTGCGCTTGAATGGACGACAATCCTCACCATCTTCTTCAGTGCAAACCGATCTCTCATGCGGTGACTCATGTCGCCTCTTGTGATTAACTCACTCCAGCTCAGCATCGGTTCGAGCGGCCTGAACAAACTAAAGGATATAGTCTACCGAAAACCAAAACCAGGAGCAATATAGTAAGCAACACAATTATTCAAGCAACATACCGTGCGTACTTGCATTCTCGTCGCCATTGTCACTCATATTAGCGCCACCATCGCCGTCCCACCCGCAACCGTGTCGTCGTCACCATCTTGTGCCGAGGACACTGGCGTGCGGGCCTCTGCCGTGTCAGTGGTCGTTACGCCTGCGTCCACAGGAGTATCCGTCACTTCGGCAAACAGACGACCATATTGTAAGCACTAAAACTTCATCATTTATCGCCATTAACAAATACATGCCCATGTTATCTGCGACATCATCCTCATCCTCATTCACCGTGCCAGGCATGACCGCGGCCGCGCCTTCTTCTATTTCCACACCCGACACACGAGAATCGATATCATTTGTAACTCGTTCTCACCAACGTCTGCATCCTTCTTATACGTAGCCTCGCTCTTTTCACCCGCACTCCCTATCGCACCCTCTTCATTCGTTGCTGCGCCCTTCGCGTCCTTCTGGTTCGTGGTCGCGGTGACTCTAGAGTAATCAGGCTTGGTAATGTCGTCATCGCTGATTTCGTCTTTGAGGCTTTTCATGTCTTCCTCCGCATTCGCCACGTCATCCTTCGTCAGAAAGGAGTCATCAACGTAGTCGTCGTCGCTGGAAGAATCCCGAGAAACCCTTGAACAGACCGAACATAATCCACAGTTTTCCTCTCTCGCAACCAGCGCCCTAATTAGACGCTCCACAACAAAATCGGCTCGTTCGTGTGTTAGCGCAGCTCCTCGGGCTACTCTACCACACGCAGCCTACCCTTAGCATTCGTGCGCGCATGGCTTCCCGCATTCCTGGCTTCGACATTTAGCTGTTCTATTTTCACATGAAATGTGAGGCTCGTGCGCTTCAAATTTGACCAGCAAAAAAAGAATTTTAAAGAATTCGTAAATGTCGCTTTTGAAATTTTAGAGTAAAATAAAAACTACAGCTTACCCAGCAACACAATCGCTGCTGTGTCACTCAGATGGAGTTATCGTCTTGTAGGAAGCGGGATGTGGTAACGACTCTGAGTAGCGTTTTTACAAGCTGAATAGGTGGAGGACCGTTTTGTAAGGTACGATATCTATTTTTTGTATCCATTACGTTACAGTATGGGCAAAACGCAGTTAAAATAAAATACGTGCCAGCAGTACCAAACTTGTCGTTGTCCATAGCTTATTTTCAACCAATGAAACAACCGCATTCATCGCTTTGACCAATTGGGCTAGAGATACAGTAACCCCGGCTATCTTTATTAAAAACACACGTGTACGGCAAATAGATGCTCATGAATGGTCGTTATCTTCGAGCTTCGCTTTTTCGTTGGACTCGAATCTCTTGGTTTTCTCGTTCAGGAACAGAAATTTCAAATCTGAGCCTAGCTTCAGCCGAAAGAGATGCATCATGGAACTATGAATACTCTATTCTTGCGTCGATCAAGACGGACGCTGAGAGTGCCCAGGGCTCGGAAGAATAAAGGCGTTTTGACTTGGCAAGGTGGATTTATTTAGACAGTGACGTTCAGCGGAGCTAAATCAGCCTTAAGTTGCACCACTAAATGAATAAACAGGAATTTAACACCCCAGTATGCACACTTTTAGGTAACAATACGATTAGCAGACGACCGATGTTTTACTGGTAGAGCTACTCCTTCAGTTGATTGCAACTTGATCATTTTTTAACTGTCATTTTGTGAAGAAAACACGGTAAGAAAACGTGCAAGCGTTTTCTTGGTACGTTGTCGATGTAAACCACCTGTCGTTCTCTTTTCTTGCAAGGTCCAAGTAGCCATTCTTCTTCAACCATTCAATATACTTCTTGAGAAACCGCTTGAAGCCTGACGGAGTCGACCACCGCCCACTATACAACAGAGTTTCCCATTGACGTCGGCATACGTTTTTTTCTCCGCAACTAGTTCCTTAAATCTTCGCTCGAGTATGCCTGCCTCCTTCTTGAGGTACCACGCTTTGAGACGCCTCCATAGCTCGACGGTTCTCTTACTAAGGTGTTTGGATGTATCAACTGTTCTCTTGCTGATACTCTTGGCTTTATCGGCGATCGTCTGGGCAATACCTCGCTCTTCAGTCTCATCCCTGCCGCTGTCGCCTCTACGAGTGTCGATCTCGATGGCATTTTCTACCGCACGGACGTGTGACGTCGACTTGCTAGATAGTACGCGCGGTAGTGGCTTGTTCTTGTCGAATGAAGCGGCCTCACAGCTCGAAACGAAGATGGCCAAAGTCGCAATCAACACCCACAGGAGCAGACGCATTCTGTGCAAGCTGGTTCGTGGGAGTGTCAAAGCCTTGTTGGTGGTATGGGTGGATTCCAAAATGACCAGTAATTACTGTAACAGCTTTGTATTCAGTCGTACAGACTGAAAACACCGTACTACGGGGTCTCTATACGGGCACACCTACCCAATCTCAAGAAAGGAGTGTTAGCCAATGAAACCACAGAAATCCGAGATCAGGATAATCGTTTCTCAAACAGAAACGCTGATCTACCGGCTCTTCAGATTCTGGGATGTTGGCAAATTATTCATTCACTTGGCGTTTGTAAGCAACCAGAGGGTGCGGCTTATCTGCTATACAAAATCGGATGCTTTTCAATACAATTTCCATTGGATGGAAATCGATACTTCTGTATGTATTATGCAAAGCATATGGTATTAGAACTACTATGGTTATCACCACGATGTCGTGAGTCACGCTTCGACTAGAAAAGACGCGCTGTAACGTTTAGCCCTTCGTGGTGGCACTTGTTAATCAGCGCAGCCAATTGATCCACTTCCAGCAATTTCCTAGCACCATTGTTGAACTCAACCGCCCAGTTATAGACACCTCTTGGCCCAATACAATTTTGCCAATCCACAACTCGGCCAGGTACATTTCTCAACGTGAATTTCCTTCGGTGTCTTCAACTGGAAGTTGTTTGGTCACGTTCCACCCAATTGGAAAGGATGGTTTTTGAACAAATTGTTTTTCCAGTTTTCCTACAGTCGTCCTTGCTCAGACAATTTGTTCTTTTCGCTGACTCACACTCTGTTTCCGAACAGGCATGTGAGCGGTTGCTGTTTGCAGGTCATATTGCTTCATCAGGGCAAGTGTTGCAATAACGTGCGTACATGGCTGTATTCAGATGTATCAGCACTGTGTAGCGCTGTAACAGCAGCATCTTCTGTAAAATGGGTTGGGATAAACCGGAATGAACTATGTGCGACGTTAGAAGAATCACCCTCAGGCGGCAAGACCTCTGGATCTTGTCCATCGTCGCTCATGACTGCGGATCAGCGTCTGTTGGCGAATGCGCCGTCTCGTGTCATACCAGGATGTCTAAAAATATCAATATGTTGTAACACACACAGCTGTAATATAAATAAACGGGACAGAGTACATCAATACCACCTTTTAGCTATTGAAAAGCATCCTTTTTTTAGAGGTGTTGAATTCAATCTTTTTTTGTATTGAAAATAATCTCTTTCCGCAACCAGATACAGCTACAATCACAAATCTTGATGTTAAAAAGTGGTTTCCTTAGTGAAAACAAGATGAAACTGGATGTCAGCTATCCGGCTAGTTACTGGAGCTGCCTTTTCACCACCACCAAAAACGCGTTGCTATAAAATGTGAACATCGTGAATGTTTTTCGTAAAGGTACTTGTACAATTCGGAACTTGAATCTCTGGTGATAAACTAACTATTAAAGTACGAGAGAAACTAGCCTTGAGCTACTTGACGCCTTCAGATGTTGTGCTACATGCAGTAGATGAGTCTAATGCTGTCGATACAGGTACTGTATATGAGACTGCGTCAAACAAAATGTTACTTATGAACCTAAGTACGAATCGCGATTTAAGCACTCTAAACGAAAGCGGGGCGTCTCTTCTATCTTTTGAGCCCTTATAAGCTGCAGAATGCTTAAAACGGAAGAAGTTGTGGTCGCTCAAAAATATTATCTTCATTTATGGGCCCTCGAAATGACGATACATTTAGGAGTGTTGTGAGCTCAATATTTTTCAATTTTAGAGATTTAAGTGTTATTTAAGAGCTCGTGTTAAAAGCAATTGAATAAGGGTGGTTTTACAGTTTTTTTCGATGGAAGCTTACAATAAATGTCACTGTTTCTATTAAGTGCGAAAATCAATTGGCCAACTTTAAGCCCGATTATCTCGATAAGTCTCAAAGGTTCATAAGTAACATTTTGTTTGACGCAGTCTCATATGTTAGAACGAATTTGGTGTACCGGTATATTAAACTTAAATATATGTGCCGCCTATGTTCTTGTCTTTCAAATCACTGCCTCCTCTATTGTCATTTAGTCACCAGAGCGCCCTTTGAGAAAGGAATGTCTGTTGGAGGGATGATTTGCGCAGAGTTGTTAGGGCAGTACAGTATGGAGTGAGGACACAAGGAGAGTGGTCTATGCGGCCATAGTGGAGAGGAAGTCTTGAGTGTAGAAGGAGAAGACGCTTGTGGTGGACTTGGTAAAAGGAGAAAGGATGAATTACAGAGTCTGCCTACTTCAACAATGTCGGTAGTAAAATCGTCTGGTCGTACAATATTAAAGGCAGCTGATCATCAGGTCGTGTAACAAAAAACTGCCTTGATTCTAAATTACTGTGTCTAGTGGTGTGGATAACGACACGTAGGAAAACCACATGTTTGACTTTCTGTCATCCGTAATCATGCCTGTCACGCTTTTCCGGACAAATCATTGGACAAAATTATTCTAAAACTACTGCTGGCTGCCGAGCCCAAACTGCAACCCTGCGTCCCTATGGGCCCGCCTCAGCCAACCTACCATGCGAGTAGTGAAGTGAGCCCGTGGCGAGCGGAGCGGAGGCAAAACACAAGGAACGACATTCATTCTCACCCGCCGCGTAGAGGCGGCACTCGGCTATCAAGGCTGTCCACACCCGATGATATAATTATTCAGTACATATGCAGTCGGAGATCCTGGAAATATCTCCTACGATACCTCTGCAATCGGATTCTACGTTTGGGTTTACCACGTGTAAAAATCCCCGCAAAATGACTTTTGCTTACGTGGTTTACTGTTCTTGGCACCTACACCTAATAAGCTCGTATGAAATAGTAGTAGTAATAGTAGTAATAGTAGTAGTAATATTTTTACAAAGTTTTATTTGAACGAGAAATGTATGCACTCGTTTTTAGCTATCGGTATATTCACGACGACTTACCAAAATCTGAATTTGGTCTCCGAATGCCCGCCACGAGTCATGACCACCTGTAGACGTAACAGTCGGCTTCGTGAAGATCAATGTATGCTTTCTGAGGTATGGATTCACTGATTGAGGCAGGGGTCCGCAAAATGGTTGTGGACTATTGATGGAGAGAGCAAAATCTCAGCTCCATTCATTATGGGCACATAGTCCATAATGGAGAAACCCCATAATCCCTGATCTGCACTATATACACAATAGAGAGTGCGATGAGGAGACATCATCGACGATTACCTATAGATGTACATTTTCAATGCACTGTTATTGGTAGGTCATATGCTATATTATTACGCTGTTGCGAGACACTAAAACCAACTTTCACTTGAGCTTTGTATTGACCACTACGATTATCGTCCCATTTTTCGCTATTCCATACATATAAATTATGGCCATACTTATATTGAATTTTTACGTAGAGGTGTGGGTTTTACGCATTTCATAGTGAGCTCTACTGTCTTTGTAGCTGTCCCGTACTGTATCGCGCATTTACCGAGAGGCCTGCTACTCGTGTAGCCTGAGATGTGCCGCCCGATCCACTGACACCTCTCCGAATGGATGAGAGCTATTGTAACAGGCTAGGAATCCGCCGCTTAGATGTCAAATCGACGCATTAAACTGTTGTGGTGGCGCTGAAAACCCGTAACAAAGATACTCTGACAGTGCGTTGGGGTCATATACGTGCCACTCAGGATGCCTATCATCGCCTTTTGTGTGGGATCCTGTCCACACTTGGGCCTCGCTGTCCTGCGCGTACATTTTCATTGAAGCATCGTCCAGATCTGTATATCTCCAAACCGTATACGATATTTATTGTTTCCTCTATTTACGAGAAGTTTAAGCATTAAGTATGCCTCACCCGCATTGTACAAGCTCTGCCCAAGTCAATTCACAGGCATGAACACGTCGAAGCAACTTGAGACCACAAACGAACTCGTTGCATTTCCCCACAACTGCAACAGGTAAAAGAACGATGTGTTGTGGATGCCAGACAGACTGATAATAGCCTAGCTGCGTCGATCGATCAGCTCCAAGAACCAGCGATAAATACACTAGCGGATCGCTCATAAGGACTGCATTCATAAACGCCACATTGCCTCTACGTCAGGCGGACGTCGATGAAGACATTTCAAGTGGTGCTGAATAAATCGACACGAGTCAAAGATTTTCCCCGATAAACGTGCTCGTTGTCGTATCTCTTCGTCCGCAAGATACTTACATGGAGTAGAGCTTGTAGCAGCGAGCACCCGTGCACGACCATGTCGTTTCCAACAAAGTAATCGAGACCTAATGGGATACCGGGTGACGATACTGGTTCTGCTGTACGGTTTTAGGCAGTGCTGGGTCTCGATGTCGGGTATCTCGAATACAATAAAAGGTGCTTGGCCACTGGACACACACACTCACAACAGGCCACAATGTTCCAGGAGAATATGGTACTGGCGAAGGACCAATGTGTGTCTGATCGCTTGCCTTTATTGCACCGAAGTACCCATAATTGGGACCAAATAACGTGTACACCCCATAGCGCTGAGACTAGAAACAGTAAGCAGGCAAGGAGCTTCAAATCGATGACTACTCCACCCAGCACGACGCCACCCTGCCGGAAGTTATACTGATACCTCGCAGCTTCCCATCCACGACCCGTATTACTCGGAACTTCTATTATTTTAAGGATCTTAGCCGCCCAAAAAATTGTCGAGCGGTACTGAAAAATTTACGCCACACTTGAGAGCGCGCTAAGTAAAAATTCCGGAACGCCAGTCACTCCATTACTCCACATCGTATTGTGAAGCTGTCTGTTTGAGGTAGCCATGAAAACTACCATATACCATGCTAGTGCGTAGATCCATACACTACGCATCTGTACGACTGCGTACGTGACAAAAGACTCGGGTTTGATATCGAGAGCTCCTGCTTGAGAGAAGAAATGAGCTTCAAGAACATTGTAAGTGAATGAAGTATCTAGTAAATGAGCCAGAACGTAGCACAAAACTGGGAAGGAACTCCCGTACACAACACACTGCGTCGGTACTTTCATGAATAAATCTCGAGCTTTTCCTAAACGAATCCAGATCGAGATTTGCTTTGGTGTAACATACATAAAATAGCAGCTTACCAATTCCACGAAACCAGAAGTACGATTGCCCTATTGAGCGTAGTGCAGCTACGAGTCCATACCATTGAGTGACATCAGATATCAACAACCCAGTTTCGTAGCGATATTCTTTCACAAAGACCGTCTCACAGTCAGAGGAGGTACAGTCTCGAGCTCGGATGATAGTACTAACATCGGATCTTCGAACCCTGTAAAAGAGAGCCCACCACGACACACTTGCACGTACTCTTTACTCTCTAGAAACGTCAAATCCACTGTCATATTTGGGAACCGCGCTTGAACATCACGTAAGCGTGTCATCGTATGAACGTACAATAACCCCGCAGCTCTACTGCTAGTATCCAAAGGAGCACAAGAGCGATTGAGATTTGTCCATAATTCTTGACAAAAATGTGGGGTATGCGCACGACCTCCGTTAATAGGGAAGCAGATATCACGAGCGCTTATGGAGTTCAACAGATCAGGCGAGTAATACAGAGCGGAGTTGGTACGCCAATTAAAATTGTTGAACCAGTTCGAAAGTAAAAACTGATGGAGTCGATCGATATATTCGCTTTCGTCCGTAGAGTGAACGCCATCGGCCCGGATTTCAATTAATCATAATTCTTACGTGTTTTGTGGATGTTCGCGACCCCGTTGACAATCCCGTCGATCATTCGGAACACGACGTCGCCATTCAAAGTGAGCTCAGAACACTGCGCAGTGTAGAAAATGCAGTCAGGGTAGTCGGAAATTCCAAAATATCTGGCAAAAGCACGCCAGGTAATCGACGTCGAATCATACTTGTAAGTCCAGACATTCGCTTTGAGTTTCCCACTGTAAGCTTCTGCTTTCGTAGCTGCATAGACGGAATAGTTCCATGACGTTCCGAACCCCATCACTTCGTCGGGATGAAGCACTGGGTAAGACACAAGGCCCATCAAGAAGCGTGACCACGAGAACAGCAGGTTCCGTTCAAATACTTTTTCACGGGCTGCAAGTTGGCGAAGATGTGTTTTGGCAATGAGAGCCGCTGGAGTGCATTGCAACATCCTGGTGCTCTGTCTGTTTCTTCGATCCAAATAGCTCGATAACCATCGTGATAATACGGCAAACGCTCGATCGATATCAGCACTCGTTACATCTGAAGCCACCTGGGCGCTAGTCATACTAAAGCACCGCCACGCAAATAATCGACCTGCAGCTGGCAGTGAAGTTGAGAGCTAATTTCATCTGGGTCGAAAACGGCCGCTTTAATTAATGGTTATGGTGCTTCGAGTGGATTTTTATCGCCAACGTCGGCTTTAGTCTAAGAATACCCTCTATCCTTCAGGTATTACTTGCCCAAGATGGTATCAAGTATTTTCATCAATGCAATGGTGGAGTTTGTGTCATTCATAGCTTTGGCGAAGCGGAGCTGTGGTATATCAATGTGTTAGTTCTTTCTTAAAAAGAAAACGTTTTTGTATCCTAACATATTTTCTTATTCGCAGTAGAAGTTTTTATTGACTCTGTTAATGGATGACATTCTATCATTCCAAAAACGTCGACTGAATCACAAGTACATGTACATGTAGTAGCATTAGGAGACTTTAGTCTACCACCTTCGTCGAACGAGCAGTTTGACAGTGTGTAGATTGGAGTTTATGTAGCGCTTGATTTCGGGGGTCACAGCTGTCTTGTAAGTGAGAGGTGACAAAAACTTACTCCTACTCTTGATGGGGAGATGCCTGGTCATGCCAATTGAAACCCACAACCGCGAATTGAACCAACAACGGTATCGAGCAGTTGAATTCATCAATCTTTAGAGTCTGTGGACTTCCTAAACAGCCCTCATCACTTAGCGAAACCTTCATTATCTGGAAGCCAGCACAGAATGGCCGCAGTTCTAGAGGGCGATATCCCCGCCATGGCGCAGTGGTACGTGGAGGTGCAGCGACATGTCCTAGAATTGAATTGATCGTTTAATATCCACCGTTCATACTCTGAGCGTATCGTTGGTACCGACGTATGCGGGATCTCCAAGAATAATTTATTTAATATCTCTCGTCACTGTCGACACACAGCCGTCATGGGACGAAGATCGAGATCAACAATGACGCCTTCCGCGCCCGGGTCCAGTTTCCTGTACATCGCCCGTGACTCTTGCATGACTTGTCCTTCGTTGATCCCCAGGACGTCTTGTTCTTCGACACCACAGTAATAAACACTCCTCTTTTCTGCATCCACTTGAGCCTGACTGCAAGAGAACAACACCGGCTGTCCGAACTGTTCTGTCACTTTGTGTACCCTCCCAAATCGACTACCAGTTGCATGGACATCAGCCATCGGCGCCTTCTTGAGCGTCCCAGAGAACAAGTGCAAGTCATCTAAATAAATATCCACGTCTTTCACTCCACGCTCTGGCGTCTTGCTGTAATTCCAGAGTTTAATCATTGTAGTGAATCCTAGGTATTTCACCTTGGTTTCCCTCATAGTTCAACGGAGACGACCCAAGGGCGCCTGGCAGCTTTGCCATCTTCAGGCGATGGGTATGCGTGTTTTCCCAGTCGGGCTAGTAAGGTCCGACCCGGGTTTTATATTAGGAACCAGGCCAACTACATATCATCTTTCTTATAACTTTCCCAGCGAGCTTTCTGAGGGACGCCTTAGAAAGGAGCTGATAATTGAGCTCGATCTGGTTACCATCAGACTCGAGACTCATTCTACGATTTACCCGATACAATACACTTGGCTATAAGTTCCAGCGGGGTGGCTCCCGCTTTGTCGAGTGTTGATTGGTTTTTCGCCCGGGATTTACTACAAAGAATTCTTTAGTGGAAAAAGTGCTTTCTTTGGTACAAGTCCAGCTGCCTGTACCAAGAGACAAGAACAAGTACAAGAGCCTGTTTCTGCCGTCGTGACTGTGGTTTTCTTTTGGCGCGACCGAAGCAAGCCGCTAAGGGCCCAAGGGTTAATCGTGGTTATTTCGGCGTGAGTGGGACTGAACCTCAGCAAGTACCAGCCAGGATGCAAGGAGCTGGTACACCGGTATTTACACCGATCGTAGCACCGGAAATTACAAGTATCTCTCATGAAGCTCTGACTGATTGGACGAACAAGCGCCGTCACTACGAGAGCAAGTTGAGAGCTCGATGCCGCGCTACTGGAGAAAATTATGACAACATAGTCCAGTCCGTTCGCGACTCAATGGATCCTGATTTACTGGATGTACTTTGCGAGCTGAGATTGAACGAGGACGTTGCTAACGTGAATGACGACATGCTTATTGCTGAGTTCGCCCTCATCCTTTCAAGCGTGAAGAATGACACGCTCCCTGACGTCAAGGCATTATTCAGATCCAAACTGAGGATGAACCTGATGGAGAGTGATGTCGACGCCCGTGTGCTGGACTACTTTAACCAGTTCCGGAAGCTAGTGCGCGAGAATGGTCTGGGCGCCTGCTTTGAAGGTGACGGGGGTAACGAGGCAAAGTGCAAGCAACTCGTGGCCTCTCTTCACCCAGCGGCTCTCAAGGAAGAAGTGGAGCAGTGTTTGCAGTATACGCATAAGCAGGCTGCCTCGATTCCAAGACTGTTGTTTGACCTAGTCGTTGAGAAGGCGAAGGAACATGAGCGCCAGTTTCTAAGACAAAGGAATAAGAAACGAGATCGCGATGAAGATCTGCAGAAGAAGAAGAACCCCGAAGGAAAGAAGAAAATCAGGACCGGTGAGAATACGGAGGACTCTTCAAGGAAGGTGGCCAAGACCAATAGCATATCCAAGACCAAGACGAAATCGAAGTCGAAGAAGCTACCTCCAAGTCCGTGTCCAAAGTGCAATGAGATGCACTGGCTCAGCGAGTGCCCCAATGCAACTGAAGATGAAAAGGTGGAGCTGAGAAAACGCTTGCGTGAGGCGAATGCAGCCAAGCGTACAAGGACCAAGCGCCTTGGTGAGTTTCTACCGACTCCATCTCGTGCTGTTATGGTGAATGGAGTACTGGAGATTCCGTACTGCGCTGACAGTGGCTCTGACCATACCGTGATGGGCCGCTCTCACTGGAATCAACTCCGGGCTCTGCACCCAAGTGTTCAAGCTGAAGAACTTACTGTACCTGTTCAGAACCAGACGTTTGGGTCTATGTTGGTGACTGCCGATAAGAAGGCCAAACTCCATTTAATGATTCGCACCACGGCTGGGCAGGTTAAACTGATGAAGGCTGTGGATGTGTTGATTGTCGATATGGATGACGACGAGTTCATACTTGGCAATGATGTACTAAGAATGCTTGGGATTGATGTGGAGCGTCAATTGGAGCAACTAGCTGACCTAAATGTGGATGAAACAAGTGGCGATCCTGTTGAACTGGAAGCCGACGAATCTCCGGTCCGAATTGGAGAACCTCAATCTGAGAATGAGGACGTATTTGCTGCAGTTGAACGGTTGGTTGAGCAAGCAGTCGAGAACGGATTCCCAGCAGACAAGCTCGATCGATTTCGTACTATCATCCATGCCTACGATGTATGGCGTTTGACTCTGCAGGATGACCCACCAGCACGTGTTCCACCTCTGGAGATACGACTACGGGAAGGGGATCGTCCAACAAGGTGTAAGCCTCGACGGTATCCCCCTCACATTCGCAAATTTCTTCACGATTTCAACTCTCGTTTGGTAAAACTAGGACTCGTTTACGAGAATTCGGAAAGTCGATGGGCGAGTCCCGTTCTTCCTGTCAAGAAGTCAGCGGACCTTATGGATCTTCGGCAAACCACAGACTATCGTGAGTTGAACGCATTGGCTGAAGTCATGGCAGCAGTTATGCCGATTTTATCCGTGGTGATGGAGAACGCGAAGGGAATGAAACATTTCGGACTCTTTGATTTTTTGAAGGGCTTTTGGCAGCTTCCGTTGGCTCTAATGTGTCAAGAATTGCTTTCATACATGACCGATGAGAAGGTTTTTACCCCTCGCAGAGTGCCTCAGGGTAGTAGTGATGCTGCGATATTCTTTCAGAAGACCATGGAGAATTGCTTTGCCAGTCTACTGTACGACCATTTACTGATTTGGATCGACGACTTACTCCTTTATGCCAAGGATATTGATGTATATTTGGACAAGTTGGAAGAAATGCTGTCACTAATGGACCACTTTGGCTTAAAGCTGAGTGCAAAGAAAACGAGCTTGTACCAGACTGAGGTCAAGTGGTGCGGCAGGATCATAAGTGGTGAAGGCATCAGACATGACCCAAACCGAATTGACTCGCTACGTGCTTTGCCATACCCACGTACTGCCGGAGAGCTTCAGCAATTTGTCTGTGCGGTCAATTGGATGCGTCAAAGCATTATTGATTTTGCAAGGCAGATTGCCCCTTTACAACAAAAACTTGACGCGGCTCTCACGAAAACCAAGAGGACCAAGAGGGCGGCTGCTGGCATTAACATTGAGCTGAGCAGTGATGAACGAGTGGCATTTGACCGGATTAAGGATTCGCTCGCCAAAGCTGCTACTCTCGATTTTCCTGATGACAACGCTACCACATGTCTCTTCACGGATGCCTCGAACGTTGGATACGCCGTTATTGTGACTCAAGTTGTGGACTTCGACCCTCAGAAGCCTGCTACAGAGCAACAACATCGGCTCATTCACTGCACAAGTGGAACGTTTGCCGGTAGCCAGCTAAACTGGACTGTCATCGAGAAAGAGGCATTCCCCATTATCGTTGCCTGTGATAAACTGGATTACTTGCTACTAAGGCCAAAACCCTTTCGGATGTATTGTGATCATCGTAACCTGATTCACATCTTCGCACCGGACGTTTCGATCAAGAAACATATTAAAGGGAAACTTTTAAGATGGTCCATGAAGCTAATGAACTACCATTATGTATTGGAGCATGTACCGGGATCTGATAATGTATGGGCCGATAGGATTTCCCGCTGGGCTAGTAGCCATTCGCCAACTGTGAAACGACTGAAGGTTGCTCGGGCTTGCCCAAGCCAAAGGACTGAGACTGTGTCTGCTTTGCGCCCTCTGGATGATGATCGTTTTGTGTGGCCTACACTGGTGGAACTCAAGGAAATACAAGCCAAGAACTCGGCTCCTGTTCACGCTAATCGAAATGATGATGGTCTCGTGACCCTAGAGGACAAGCTGTGGATCCCATATGAAGAAAAAGAGTTACTTCAGCGGCTGTGCATCATTGCGCACTGTGGCGCTCAAGGGCACCGCGGCCAACAAGCCATGATTGCACACCTGGGACGGCTTTTCGCTATCGAGCACCTCTCAGATGTGGTCGCAAATTTCGTTAAGAAGTGTCTGCTTTGTCTGCATTCAAGAGGGGGAAAGATTATCCCACGTCCGTGGAGCGAGGTGATTGAGTGTCGTACACGTAATGGTGTTCTTCATTTTGACTTTCTTTACATGGGTGAAAGCTTTGGAGGCAGCAAATATCTTTTGGTTATGAAGGATCACGCCACACATTACTGCGAATTGGTTGTTGCAGACTCAGCCGAAAGTAGTGTTGTGGTTGAAGCTTTACTGGATTGGCACTCACGATTCGGTGTTCCTCCTGAGTGGGTGTCTGATTGTGGAACCCATTTCAAGAACGAGATTGTCGCCGAGCTGAGTCGCCGTCTCCGGTCGAAGCAGTCATTCACACTTGCGTATAGTCCGTGGGTTAACGGATCAGTTGAACGTGTGAACCGGGATGTACTACAAGTGGTGAGAGCAATGATTTTAACATACAAAATTGGATACAAAGACTGGGTCTACTTGGTTCCGGTGGTGCAAGCCAATTTGAACCATACAGCACTCCCATCTCTTGGGAATCGAGCGCCAGTTGAGCTGTTCACTGGACTGCCACGGCCTACACCCCTCTGTGAATTTTATCTACCAGTGAAAAACAAGTTACAGCAGATTCCACAGAGCGAGCAGATAGACGACTACCTAAATCGGTTGAGAAGCAGCTTACAGAAGATGCATGAGGTGGTTGAAGATAAAAGACTGAAGCAAAGACTTTTGAACAAGAAGCGCGAACGAGGAGAGAATCTCGTAAACTTTCACGTTGGAGATTACGTCTTGCGATCCCGAACGGATGAGAAACGTGGAAACAAACTCCAAGTGAATTGGGTTGGACCGTATCGAGTGACTCGGGCCGATTCCCACTCCTTTCGTGTAGAGCACCTGATTACAGGAGAAGAACATGATGTGCACCCTTCACGGTTAAAGATGTACGCAGACGACAGCTTAAATGTCACGGATGAGCTACTCGAACACGTAGCTGCTCAAGGAATCATCTTAGCAGTTAAGGAGCTGAAGGGCACAAGTGGAATAATGCTACGAAGGACTTTGATATTTTAGTAAGCTGGAAGGGCCTACAGTCGATCGAAGACTCTTACGAACCAATGCAAGTTTTGAATAAGGACATCAAGATTTTATTGAAGAGATATGTGGACACTGCTGAAGACCCTCGTCTCACGGATCACTGGAAGAAGATAGATCGTGAGGACGGCAGCACGGCGTCTACACCTCCTGATTCAGCGAAGGGCAAGAAGCCTCCGGTGCGGCCTCGCGGCAGGAAGAAACGAAGTCACCCCGATGGAGAAACCGTCCGGCGTGACAGCGACGACGCGGATGAGGTACAACCTCGAAGTGTCC